ACAAAATACCAATTGGTCTTGCTCCGCCGATTGCCTTATTAATAGCGAAACTATCATATATAACGATTACTATATATAACCCGTAAGAACAGAATAGGCATATTCCATTAACAGGGAGAGCGAGAGACCAATGTGAAAAAATTACAAAGCTCATGCGGTGAGTGTGGATCGAACACGCAATCTTCAGATCTTCAGTTTGACGCTCTCCCAAATGAGTTATCCCCATTATTAATATCTTTTTTAATGAGCATAGAATTTATCATTTACAAAAAACCAGCTGGTCTTGCTCCGTCGATTGCCTTATTAATAGCGGAACTATTATATATAACCAGTAAGAACAGAATAAGCATATTCCATTAACAGGGAGAGCAAGAGACCAACGTGAAAAAATTACATAGTTCATGCAGTGAGCGTGGATCGAACACGTGACCTTTAGATCTTCAGTCCGATGTTTTCCCAACTAAGTTATCCCCACTATTAATATCTTTTTGAAAGAGCATAGAATTTATCAGTTACAAAATGCCAATTGGTCTTGCTCCGCCGATTGCCTGATTAATAGCGAAACTGTGAAAAAATTACAAAGTTCATGCGGTGAGTGTGGATCGAACACACAACCTTAATATCTTCAGTCTGACGCTCTCCCAACTGAGCTATCCCCGCGCTATTAATATCTTTTTGAAAGAACATAGAATTTATCATTTAAAAAATACCAGCTGGTCTTGCTCTGTCGATTGCCTTTTTAATAGCGGAACTATTATATATAACAACTATTATATATAACCAGTAAGAAGAGAATTGGCCAAATCCATTAACAGGGAGAGCAAGAGACCAACGTGAAAAAATTACAAAGTTCATGCGGTGAGCGTGGATCAAACACGCGACCTTCAGATCTTCAGTCGGACGATCTCCCAACTGAGTTATCCCTACTATTAATATATTTTTTAAAGAGCATAAAATTTATCATTTACAAAATACCATATGGTCTTGCTCCACCGATTGTCTGATTAATAGCGGAACTATTATATATAACGACTATTATATATAACCAGTAAGAAGAGAATAGGCCAAATCCATTAATATGGAGAGCAAAAGACCAACGTGAAAAAAATTACGAAGTTCATGCGCTAAGCATGGATTGAAAACACGACCTTTAGATCTTCATTCTGATGCTCTCCCAACTGAGTTATCCCCGCTATTAATATCTTTCTGATAGAGCATATAATTTCTTATTTACAAAATACCAGTTGGTCTTGCTCCGCCGATTGTCTGATTAATAGCGGAACTATTATATATAATGACTATTATATATAACCAGTAAGAAGAGAATAGGCCAAATCCATTGACAGGGAGAGCGAGAGACCAATGTGAAAAATTACAAAGTTCATGCGGTGAGCATGGATCAAACACGCAACCTTTAGATCTTCAGTCTGATACTCTCCCAACTGAGTTATTCCCGCTATTAATATCTTTTTGAAAGAGCATAAAATTTATCATTTACAAATTACTAGTTGGTCTTGCTCCGACGATTGCCTGATTAATAGGTGAACTATTATATATAATCAGTAAGAAGAGAATAGGCCAAATTCATTAACAGGGAGAGCGAGAGACCAACGTGAAAAAATTACAAAGCTCTCTAAACTAAGCTTTGCCCGCTACTAAAATCTTTTTGAAAGAGTATAGAATTTATCATTTATAAAATACCAGCTGGTCTTGTACCGCCGATTGTCTGATTAATAGCGGAACTTTCGCTGTGAGTTTACAAGAGAGATGTCCTGTTTTGAAACTCGCGAAACATAATGCAGTTCGTTTGACGACGTGGGTTTGGGGAATGAATGGAGAATTAGGATTTTCCAATTTGAAGATGAAAGAGAATGAGGAAATAAAAGCTGGGGAAGTTTCTTTGGTGGGTCCTTCCAATGCTATTGAAGTCCATGTTCCACAAAGAGAATTGGTGTCTAATCCTTCACCTTTAGAAAAACAGCAAAAATGGAGGTTAGGCTTTTCCCGCAAGTTATTATTCAGAGAAAAACTTGGTTTTCTTTAGTTTAACAAATGCAGTTTTTTTCCCTGTGTTTGATTCTAGCAATTACAAGTCGGGTAAAGGAGATTACTTGGTTGATAATGAGACGTGTTTTACTAGTGCCATAATTATGAACAGTGAATATACCACTTCCAAGAATTACGATAGTCTTATACAAAGTCAAAGAACAAAGCCGTGGGATCAAGTGAGGTTGTGCTCAAATCCTCTCTTAAACCTGATGGAGCAAAGAAACTTAACCGCTCAGTTATTTGGGCTGATAATAGAAAAGTTGGCGATGCTCGGAAAGGCAGTCTTTTTGAATTTAAGGAGATGGATGCACATAGAGGAGATTCTGAAATATCTGTCAGAGCAGAAGATGGTGATGATGATGATATGTTTCGATTTGTGTCTGCAGAAGCTTGTGCTGTGGCATCTGGAGATTCTGATGCCAATAATGCTGGTGTGTATATTTTGGGTGCATTAATTGAATTATACGTGGATTCCAAGTTTTAATGTAGTATGCAGAACTTCTGAGTTTGTTCATAACCCGATTCTTTTTACAGTTTCTGAAACTGGGATTATCATATTGCCATATCCACTTGAGGAGAAAGTGAAGAATATTGATACGATTGAACCAAAAGAAGGCCCTGTAAAGTGGCCAACAAAGCCTGGGATTCCACCCTCTGATTTTTTTTACCTAGAGGACTCATGGTTTGATGCTCCACCAGAGGGTTTCATTGTAACTGGAAGTCTCGTAGACCTTACAGGAGTGCCATATGATTTCTGCATTTTCTACTTTTGTTGATTGCTTCTATTCTTTTTGATGTCCATTGTCTGTCAACTTTTGCTACAATGTGGAATGCTCTTTTTGAATGGATTGTATCTTCATCTTTGGGTTATATATATGGGAGAGATGACTCTTCCCACGAAGAGTACCTCCGAGTTAATGGGAGGGATTATCCGCAGAAGATCATCTTACGAGATGATCGTTCTTCTGAAATTAAAGAAACTCTTGCTGGCTCTATTTCTCGTGCTTTACATGCTATTGTCACTACTCTCAGACTGCCTATACCAATATCCACGTTGGAGAAAGGAATGGTACTAATTTTGAACCCATAATTGTGAAATGTTTAATTCTGTTCTTGTCCTTGAGGATGCTGAATTGTTACAAAAAAGATTCCTTGTAGTGCCCATAGTCTTGAGTTTGCTTCAGAATGTTCTTTAAATGGAGTTTTCTACAGGGGCGCTTGCTAGATACAATGTTTTTGGTGGAAGCACTTCCAGCATTCAGAATGAAACAGTGGCAAGTAATAGTTCTTCTGTTTATCGACTCCCTCTGCGTATGTGGAACACCTGCCCTAACTCCACGCATGGCTAACGGGAGGATGCTTCTTCACAAGGTGAGGTGCTGAGATTGTAAATACCGCCTATTGATGTTTTTTCAATGCAAAATTATAAGCTGAAATTCTTGAAACTTCAGTCTTTTGTTACGGCTAAAGTTGAAAGCAGATTCCAATTACCATTGGACTTTACTATAGGTTGCTGAAAAATGGTCTTCCCTAACTTATTTTGAGTCTCCTTTGATGCTTTAATTCAATAGATTTGTAAGTAACCGCTGTTGCCGAATACATTCAAGAGACCACCGAATCGATGCATTGTAAAGCATAAGAAACGAGTTGATTGTTTCATCTTTCTAGCTAGATACTGTTTTTTAGTTCGATTCCTAATTTTGATGATAAAAAGCTTATTTTTTTCAAAATTATATAATATTTTAGATTTTTTTGGTATTTTCTATTAATAATCTATTTTATGTATTCTTATAATTTTATAAGTTTATCTCCTCTAGGAATTTTAGAAATTCGTTCACATAACATAAAATTATGTGTTTATTCTTGTACACTACTCTCAACTATTTAACATTAAACACTCACACCACTGACATTCGTGGTGCTTAAACTCGAGACATTAAGAAATAATAACAATTATTTTACTATGAAGCTGATTAGTTCGTGTATTTAAATTCTTACCTTTAAATTATAACAATATAAAGATATAAATATTTATGACTGAGTCGACTATTAGTTTTTTTCATCTTTATAACTAGGGCTTCTATTTTTCATATTTATAATTAGGGTATCTAATTTTTTTAATCTTAATTTTTTTTACCTTTATAATTAAAGTTTCTAATTTTTCTAATCTCATTTTTTACCTTTATAACTGAGACTCTTAAGTTTTTTAATACATCTTTTTACCATTATAATTGAGGCTCCTAAGTTTGTTCAATTTTACTTATTACTTTTATAATTAAGGCTCTTAAGTTTTTTCAATCTCGTTTTTTACCTTTATAATTGAGGTCCTTAATTTTTTTTCAATTCATAAAATTCTCGATTTCTAATCCCTTTCTCCATCACTCTCGTTAATTCATTTAATTTTGAATTAAATCTAATCATATTTTCCCCCTTTTCTTTTACAAATCTTATTCTTCAATTTACCAAATATTCTTTAACTATTAGTCTTCTTAAATCTCAATCTAATGATAAAATAATATGTTATTCTTTATTTTTTTTAATTCAAAATCAAGTTTCATATCATAATCAGTATTGATGATGGTTATCTTTTATTATCAATTATAGTACTTGTTTACATATTTTTTAAAATTATTTTATTATATTTTTTTAATTCTTTACTTGTATACTCATATTTTTATTATTTAACGATAATTTATAATCTTTGATAATGTTAAAATAAATAATCGATTAATATGATCAATTTACTCTTATTTTATAATTTTTTAAGTTATAATTTCATTAATTTTATCTTGTTTATTTAATAACGCTACTTATTCTTATTTTTAAAGAAAAGGCACATTATATAATTTAGAAATTATCTGAAAACAAATAAAGAACAAAATAAATATAAGAAGTTGATTAAGAACAACTGGTTCCCTCTATTTTTGTTTCCACCTCTTAACACTAACAATTCAGATTGTAAAACAAACCCTTTTTACGTCCCCCAAGGCCATGCTGACCAATACGCTAATGCCCAACACCAACCAAGTAGAACACACTACTCCGAACGAACCCGATTTCTGCTCCGACGACGGAGCCGGCATCCCGGCGTCCGAATCCGATGGACCCTCACTGTCCATCGGCGACTCTGTCGGAGCGTCAGTCTCGGGTGGAGACGGAGAAGCAGAAGGAGGCTGTTGCTGGGGTGGCTTGTGTCGTACGGCCATGACCACAACGATGAGCTTTTGCCCTTTGTTGCAGTTGTCAGCGTTTCCGGTGATGAAAAAGAAGGGACCCGACCGATCAAACGTGAAGATCGAATCGCCTTCCGTTAAGGACTGAACCGGGCTCTTGGTATTGCAGGCGAAGTAATCTTCTTTCGCCACCAGTAGCACCGAGTCCGACCCTTTCTTGTACTTAAAAACTGCAGCAACAACAACAACAACAAAAACACCATAAACCCCAAAACAACTGCAAATTCACATGCAAAAGAAGACAGAAAACTCTATCTGCTTACAGAGAGTATCATTGACTTGAAATCTCATCCTTTCAGCCCAATGATTATAATTCTCAGAAGGAGTAACAACCCAGCCATCTCTACCGCCAACGTAGAACTTGTAACCCTGAGTCGAAGTTAGAAAACACAGCATCATCGCAATCAAAAGATACCCCATTGGAACTGCAACTCTAAAATGACAAAAGGAACTCAAAGAAAGCAGGCAATGGCTTGTGTTGAAGAAGAATGAAGTTTGGGGATTGGTATTTATAAGGGAATCGAGGGACGAAGTTACCGTTGTAAAGCATGGAAAGGGGTTAAGGGGAAGAGCGTGAGATTATAGGGGCAGATGGCGAGTGGTTTGGCTGGAAATTATGATTAATCAAGTCGATTCTTAGTTGGATTAGCAGAGGCGTTTCGTTGGGCACTTTATTTCTTAGCTATTTGAGCTCCTACACGTTGCGAGCATGCAGTTAATTTAACGGTTATACAAACTTTCTTAGCTAGCCGTTTCCAGTTTAAGACAAAATCAGTGAGTTTAAGTACCTGTTTGATTAACATATCTTATAATATATCAAATACCAAAAAAAACATTACATTAAATCGATAACTTCAATGATAAAAAAAATATTATTTTCTTTAAAAGCTTTAATTTTAATAGTTATATTCCTATAATAATATGCTTTGTTAATAAGTTAAAAATTCTAAATAAATATTATTTTGTAATCACTCTAAACTATTAAAAGATAATATAATTATTTTTTTATTATATATAAATGCTAATAAAATAGTAGATATATTATTTTCTCGATTAAAGAATTTATATTTAAATTTTAGAAAATTAAAAGAAACCATCATAGTTTTTTTTATTAATCACTGATAAAGGAACGAAAGAATTTATAAAATTTTGGGAGACGAAAAAAAAAATTTCAATAAAAAAATATATAATTATTTTAAATTTTCAGGAGAAAATTATCCCCACATGTATCCTCGGTCCATCCCTACATGTATGTATTATTAATATTTAAGAAAAACTCTACACAAATATTGTCTTATAATTACCTTACACTATAAAAAAACTTAATTTTAAACACGTTTAATTGTATATTCTTTTTAATTTATAGGTAAGATAAAACTTCATCTTAATTTCAAATGTACTAATTTAGAACAAATTATTTATTTTATTTAATACAAAATACAACATAATCAATGTATTTTTATTTTGATATGATTTCAAAAAATGAACTTTACCATGTAAATTAATTTAATAGAATATAACATAATCAGCATAATTCCTTATTCCGTCTGGACCTCATAACGTATAACGACGGGTTTTTTTTTTTTTTTTTTTTGCTACTATTTTTTTTCTTTCCTTTCTCTTTTTTGGAAGAAAATCAAATAATACCGGTTATGGATCACAAACAAAAATATCAAAAAAATAATTATAAAATGTATTTTTACATTACGTGATATATTTAATTAGTAAATAAATATCATTTATAGTTAAAATGAAATGTTATCGAAAAATATTAAACAATGACTTGGTGCAAGATATGAGACAATCAAGGATGAATCTAAGGAAGGAAGACGGGAGCAGTCGCCTCCCTAAAAATTTAAAATTATCATATATTTTATATTTTTTTATGTATTTTCTATTAAAAATCTATTTTTTTTTCAAAATTTTATAAATTCAAATTCACCTACCAACTTAAATCATGTGTCGAAGATGATAATTATAGATATAAATAAACATTCATCAAGTAAACTAGATATAAAAAATCAACAGCTTCTCGTCTTAGTGGCAAGATCCCTGTGTTGTCTAGTTGGATCTAAGTTTCAATCCGTAATGAGCCTTATTACATCCCATGTTTACAAGAAAAATTTAAAACATATAAATACTAGAAAATTAATGTGATCGCATAACGATCCTTCTAATATTATATATATAAAATCGTAAATTTTATAATATAGTACGTTTATACTTGTATAATTTTTTATTAACTTTGTAAATACAATGTAATATCTATTTAAAGATAAATTCTAACCTTTTGACAATGAACATTTATATTCCTGACGTTCTTGGTGGTCAGACTTGATACCTCAAAGAATAACAATAATTCATTTACCATCGAGGTCGTTCTGTCCATGCTTATACTTGTAGAATTTTAAGATTGAACTTATTGAATGATTTTATTGGGTAAAGGGAGTGTTGTTCTCCTCCCACGGTTATTTCGTAAAAGTTTGTAAATTGATTGGAGTTGTATTCTCATTACATTGAGGACACTTTCTTAAAATTTCTGGTATTGTATATTTTACCTGAAAATTATAAAATCTCAATTCTCATTTTTCAACTTTATTTTGAACACGAATTTAAAGATTTAACAAGTAAAATTACCTAAAGGAAATAGTATACAACATAATCTCAATAATTTCACACAATAATTTCGAAGAAATGATATTCCAAAAAATTGTTAATAAAGTAAAAAAAAAATTGCTAACAATATGTGTCTAATGTTTCTAACATTATAATTTTAGGTGTTTGGACCGTTAACGACCGTTAAATTTAGTAGTTATTTGACACGCGTTATGCGTATAAAATTTTAAAAAATATTTTGTTTAAAAAATATTATATTATAATTTTTTTAAAACCCAAATTTTATATCTTTCCCCACCAATCGGCCACTGTCGATCTGTAGCGGTCACAATTGACACCATCAGAACTGTCTCGTCGTCGAGACCAAAACCCAGTCCCCCATCCACCGTGAAATTGTATCGATCGTTTTGAAAAATGTTGCAAAGGGTTTTGTGTTGCTTTTTTTTGATGATTTCAACGGCTACAGCTATTCGTATATTACACGGCCATCACTGTTGAGTTCCTCTTCTTGCTCGATCAAAATCTGATCAGTGGTGACTATAACACCCTAGATTGGTACAACACACAATCGACCGAATCGAGTGTCACACAGAACCACCGAAGTGACTGACCAACTATTTTCTCAATATTTTTACTTTTAAACAACCATAAACCATGACCATTTGCATGAGTATATCATTGATAAAATATAATGAAAACTTTAACATCGGGAGCTCACAAAATAAATCATTTACAAATTTAAATAATAAACATACCACTTAAATTACAATTGATGACTCAACTTTACATTAGGGTTTATAAATATACATGCCTTTCAAAATGCTGAGATGTACTCTGCTCTGATCTAGGTTTGGACCTCAGTTTTTCTAAAGATCCTTGAATTGGTTAATCTACTAACCTGCCAATGAAAACATCCGAAGTTTGAGCTAACTAGCTCAGTGCCACACTAACAATAGGGTCACACTAATAGTGCATCATAGAACTACATCAAGCAAATCAATCATTAGTGAATATCCTCGTGATATTCGCTCTCTACTCTAATGGTAGACAACATGGTGCAATTGAGGGATTTTTGCATCTCGGAGCTCACACACCCCTCTAGTCTACCGAGGATATGGCTCCCAAAATTTCTACATCGGACACCATACCCCCGACTAACCCACCCCTCGTGGGTGTTCGGACCTTGCGCCCTAGTTAGTCAGTTTTAAGGGCCTCGCGCCCTCCCTAAGGATATATCCAGACGGCATCTATACTTTTGACCCCACTAACTTTCTAAAGGAACTCTGATGTCCGAATCGTTTCCCGAGCATAAAAAAATGCTAGTTTTATGCCACCCTAATTATTTGTTTTCTACGTTTGATTTACTATTAATATTGTTCCACTGTAGTCTTATTTGATGATATAACGAAGAGTTGGGGTACCTCGAGTCTAATTCCCTTAAAAACTGACCTTTTTGCCCAAAACAGACTGAAAGTATTAATACTAACCCAAGAGTATCGATACTCCTTCAAAAGTTTTGATACTTTATATAAGTATCGATACTTTTAAACAATCTGAAATACTCAATTTCGATATTTTCGGGAGTTTCAAAACTACAACCCAAAGTTTCGATACTCTTGAAAGAGTTTCGATACTCCTACCCAGAAAACATGATTTTACCCATAAACGAAGAATAAGTATCGATACTCTACTTGCATACACCATAAAACAAGTACGAAAAACTTTGTTTTTCATAACCCAAATACCCTAAGAGGTCCTCAATCATTCTTAAAGTCTTATGTGATATTAAAGGAGCATAAATAAGGCTCTAAAACATACAATTTTCCATGAAAATAAACTCATCATGTTTCAATCCTCAACATAAGCTATTTGCATTTATATTGACCCACTAATGGTATGAGGGAGTTGTGAGTGTGTTACCTACTTACCTGAATCCTTTGAGTGCTAAAACCTCTCTCAATCAACTAAGAATCTATATTTCCTTTACTCTTGACTTTTGAACTTTCTTTAAGCTCTTTCATTAGACAAAATATATGCAAATCGGTTATTTACTCAACTAAATGTTGAATAACACTTAAATACACTCCCTATAACTCAAATTCCCTTTTAGAATAGCCTGAATCACTTGATTCCTTAAAACCTATAAAAACTCATTATCTAAAACCAAGTTGAAAACTTAAGATTTGAGGCTTAAAATGAAGCTTAAGGGATGATAATTTGATTTCTTACCTTGGTTTCTTCAAACTAGGCTTGGATTTCAACAAGTTTCTACCTTTTTCTTACTCTTGAGAAGTAAATGAAGAGGAAGAAGAAAATAATATATTTTAGGTGGGTTGATTTCATGTGGAAGACTCTGGATATAAAGGGGTTTATAACCTTTAAAACAACTATGGGTAAATTGCTATCTAGGTCCATCTCCTTTTTACCTTAAATTAAAACTACCACTTAACTAAACTCTTGGGCCTACCTTAGGCCCACCTTAGGCCCAATACCCTTAAGAATTTGTTTAAAATGGCTTGGAAAAATCTAGTGGGCTCTATTGAAGGGTTTCGGATTGACCGAAACTACTGACCTGAAATTCGAGATATTGTAGTGACCCTTAGCCATCGGCAGTGGGGGATGGGAGGGAGAGGAACGATAAGAGGTTGGGAATTTTAATTTTTTTATTTTTAAAAAAATACTATTAAAAAAATTAAAATTTAAAAATATAACGGTATACACTTAGAAGTGTAACGGAGAAAATTGTAGACACCTAAAAGTATAACAGAGAAAACATTAGCAACCTATTGTTAGCAAAAAAAAATCTTTAAACACCAAATCATATTTTAAAGTATAATTTAAGCACTAAAAAGTATATTAATCCATTAATATAACTTATTAATACTCTTAATAAAATAATAAACCAACACTAAAATAACATCTTTGAACTTGACAAAGAAAATCTCTTAATGTGTAATCAAAAATATAATCATAATTTTTTATGTCTCAAGAATATATATTTGATATTATCTCTTTGAGAATCCACACAATAACTTTTTGATAAACAATACTTTATAGATTTATTCTAATAGAATTAATTCAAAACTACTGGTTAACACATAATTCGTCACTTAGCGAAGATATTTTAGTTTGATTCTGCCTTACGTCTCAGAACTGATTAATTTCAACTCAAAAATCTTGTTGGATTAAAAAAATGGTTAGTGGATGCTGCTGCCTTATGTGTTCTCCACTTCTTTAACCTACATCTTATCAAGTACATGAAAATAGAGAATTTTATTAGGGTAAACTACGTATTTAATATTTAAATTATTAATTTTAATTCGTTTTAATATTTAAACTTTTAAATTTTTTAAAATCGTACTTATCGTTTATTTTTGTTTCATTTTAGTACCCACCATTAAAAGCTTAACGCGTTTAGTACCTAAACTATCAGTTTGACCTGTCTTAGTACCTAAATTTTCAATCTTTTTCAAAACATTAACGTTAAATTTTGAATAGGGGTACTAAAATAAAACAAAAACTAAACTTTAGATTTGTTTTGAAAAAATTGAAAGTTTAGGTACTAAAATGGACTAAAACTGATAACTTAAGTATTATACGTATAATTTACCCTTTCTAAATGATACATGGTGAGTTCGGAAATAGAAAAGTTATTTTTGTATTCCAAAGTATAATCCCAAAAAGGACAAATAACGTTATGTATGTTGTACGTTTATATATATATTTATTATTTACCATTTATTTTATACAAAGAATATATACGTATAGAACTTTTTAAAAAATGAAGGACCATTGTTCATAATTTGAATGATTCTACTATTTACAAATAGTATATTAAAAATATATTATCTATATAAAATTTAAATGATTCTACTATATACAAATATTATATTATTATATTATCTCATTATCAATTTATATGATTTTCTATCCTTCTATGTGTTATTATCATTGGAATATGATTTGATACACGTTCCTTGAAGAACTATATAAATTTTGTAGATTATGTGAACAATTATTTTTAAATGAAATTATTGATTGAATTACAATTATTTCAAAATAATTAATTATTATGTTTTATAATAATTCTATTAATGAACATACACACTTAATTGTTAATAAAATATTGAACAAATTTTATAGTTTATCTAAAGAGTCATTTTTTCCAAATAATTTATTAAAATTATTTATTCAATGATTATATGAATTTTATCTAAAATTATTATTAATGTTATTGTTTATATATAAAAAATATTTTTTTTTTAAATTTCAACTTAATAATATAATGAAAAATAAAAGATAATTCCGTTGATTTAAAAGTTTCTTTAAACTTATACTTTTATCTCTTAATATAAACTATAAATATATAAATCTACTAAATTATGTTAATTGCATTTTAATATTTTATTGTTCGTACATATAAAATATTTTAATAGAAACGAATAAAATTTCTTGGTTGTTCTAATGTCTCAGCCTCTAACTAATAAAGATTAAAATATGTTCTTTAATATTTTCAATAAAAATTAATTAATACACCAAAAAAGTTAAGGGTAAACTACATTGATGGTCACTAAACTTTTAGAGTTCTTTCATTTTAGTCATCAAGCTTTCAAAACTTGTATTATAAGCACTAGACTTGTAATTCACTTTTATTACGGTCACTGCAGTTAACTACTGTTAAGAAAAATATAATGTGATATTATAAAGTATTATTTTTCATTTTTTTAAGATTCCAAAATCAATATCTTTAATAGAAGCTAAGTACTCGATGAATGAAATGGTCGTCGGTTAATCTTGACGATAGAAAGGTTTTATTTTCTCAAAAGATTAACATGATTCGATGCTTGATGATGATGGCTAAAAAAATTTAAATTTTAGTTTTGATTGATATTTTAGGATATTGGAAGATTTTGTGACAAGAAAAAATATGAATAATTTAATATTTTTTCGATCAAAAAAATCACTAAACAATACATGAATGAAAATAAAAGAAGAAACAACAATTGCCGTTTTTAAAGATTTCTTAGCATGTCATGTTGGATTCCTTTAATGGTTTAACAATAGTGACTCAAATGAAAATTTTTCTTAAAAATAGTGACTCAAATGAAAAAATTTCTTAAAAATAGTGACTCAAATGATTTCTTTTTATATAATTTATCAAAGTCCTAGAAGCTGAGTGACTATCAGTGTAGTTTACTCAAAAGGTAACGACCAAATCAAAATATGGTTGACTCTCCCTGATTGGAACGTAACTCCAACCCGCTACAGAGCGCGTAACGGAACCAACTAAAACCTAGAGGGCAGAGACTCTCTTTCTCGACTTCTAATTATCAAAACTTAAGCAAACAGGCCAACAACAACAAACCACTACTTTGGCAAGCCATTTTTAGATTAAAATTTTTTCATGTATACTTCACGTATTTTCTGATAATAATATTTTTGAATAAGTGTGTTGTTCCTGTCTCTGGGTCCAAAATTGTTTCTGGTGGAAGTTCTTTTCTGGGTTAGCTTAAATTAAACCAATTATAAAAGAATTGAATTTTAGATACACCAGAAGAGGAAGGAGAGAGGGAGAGAAGGAAGGGGAGATTAGTTTGTTGAGCTATCGTTTTCTACTGTTTGATCTTTTGTTATTGTTGGTTCAGATAACTCTACTTGAAGCAATCTCTTTTATTAGCGCTTTCCTTGATGTGCAGTGGGTTTGTATCATCTTCTCGGATAATCTACCATCTCAATCAGTTTCTGAACATATTTGCTTTCTTAGAGGGAAATTGAAGTTGGATATTTTGTTTTTCCTTTGAAGAGAAAGCAGTTTGGTTTTGTTTTTATTGAAATGGGATGTCGGGGTTTTGATATGATCGCCGGGGAATGTTTGGATTTTTTGTGGATTTCGAGGAGGAGGAGATTAGGGTTTGTGTTCAGGGTTGTTTTTGGATTATGGTTTGGTTTTGTTATGCTAAAGCCAGTGGCGGGATTGAGACCAATAAGGGAGAGGGCTCGGTCATGGGGGGATGAGGTTGGTGCTTCTTAATTCCTTATGATTTTTCTTTTTTGATGTTAATGTTTATTAAATTTGTTATTTTTCCCTTCAACAAAGCTGAAATTTTGGGTTTTGCTTCTGAATGTCAAATTCATAGTTTTAATTGGTTATTGTGCTTCTGATTTTTGTCAAATTTGGATTTTTTTTGGGACTGGTCTTGACTCATTGCAGTTTTATAGGTTTTGACTAGTTATTGTTTTGTTGATGAATAATGAAATGATGCAAAATGGAAGTGGGCAATGTCAAGTTTGATGATGTAATTTAGCAATCTTGCCCAGAGAACATATAGGTTATTGTTTTGTTGATGATTGAAACAGGAAATTAGGTTACGTTTATAGGTAGATTTTCATAATGGAGAGCTAAATAGCAATGCTTGAAGTTTCCTTAACCGCCATGGAATATTTTAATCTCTCATTTTGCTGAGAAATTCGTGGTAAATTAAATCAAATTAGACAGATAACGCGCTGTTCATTTGGAATTTGGGTCTTCTGCTGCTGTTTAAATTTTCCATGTGTTCTTCATCCCTTGCGCTCTTCATTTTGGGTGCTATAAATTTATTGATATTCTTAATGTATCCTGCAGTGGCTATTTGTTAGAAAAGATGAAAGCGAATTGGGTCCATTTCATGCATGGAACATAACCGGAACTTATCGAGGTAAGTAAATTTTCTCAAATTCAATCATATGCATATTAGAGTTGATGCATAGGGGTATTATCTGGATCTTATTGTATATGGCTGATGTAGCATGCGGTTTTGTGATTGATTGCTTGTGTTGTCTTGCCTGAATCATCTCTTTATTTCCCTACACTTTGTATTTTATTTTATTTATCACTTAAGTTGTTCATGATGACATGATTAGATTATGAATTTCCTGGAAAATATTGGTAAAAATATCTTTCGCCAAAGGCTCAAAATCCACACTCCATGAACACTCAAAGTTAAACAGAAATACAAATTTATTTACCAAACCAGATGCTTTGTATCAATTTTTTTTGGATGAAAAAAAGAGACTTATTTAGGAGGGAAACTAATGAACTGTCTAGCTTCTAAAAGTAATTTTTTTAGATATTTAGTTTATCATTGTAATAGAATGGATTAACTTCAATCATTGAGTTCATTAAGCTAGTTTAATTGTGATGACAATTGTTTGTTGGTTTGACTTGGAAATTGCAGGCAATTGGAAATTTCTGGAGTCTATGAATAGCTCTTCCAAATTTCCTGATTTCAGGAAATCATCTGGTGATTCGGTCATTGAATTAGTTAGCTCACCAACAAAAATAACTGGTGTACATTATGTTCAGGTAAGGGGGTTCTTGGTCATATTAAGGAAATTCACTCTTATTTTGCTTGCTTGGTGAACTTGTTAGGATAATTGAACTGTGCTTTGGATGCAAAATATACACAAACAGGGTGTTTGCAAAATCAGACTTAATGGATTAATTTCAATCATTAGTGTCATGGAATTTCGATCACTGTAATATATACACACAGGCTGTATCTTACCACTTTTAATTATTGTCTGGCTTTGTTTCTCATCTTTTTTTTTTCTTTTTCTTTTTTTGAAAGTGCTTTGTTTCTCATCGGTGGTGGTGATAACAGGGTGTAATTATTTTCCATGATGTGTTTGACAACAAACACAATGTTGGTGGTGCTCAAATAAGGGTAGAGGGTGTATATATATGGCCTTTTAGACAGCTTCGAATGGTAGCTAACAGGTAAGTCTGGACTATGTTATTGCTCATTAATAGTTCTTTCAGCTTGATTGGATGTTGCTTGACTAAGAAATGCATACTAGTCGACTAACTGCAACAATATGGTGCAAATAAAAGTATTCCAAACCATTGTCACCTAATTTTTGGAGATTTTCTATTTGACTTGGGAAACTTTTGGGAGAAGTTGGAGGGGGGTCAGAACTCATATCCAACCAATTACCAGAAAAAGGCAAATGCAATATATTTGTTAACACTCTCACTTCCATTCATATGCTCTTTTACGATGACATTTTGTGAATGCTCATTGCGTTTCAACTCTGACATATTTTACTGACGCACCATTGCAGTGGAAAGGATGGAGAGCTGAGTCAGGAAGAAGATTATATTTTGTCCAACCCATACCATTTGGTAATGCTTTCCGTCATACTCATTTGTGCTTTGCTAGAATTTATTTATTTTTTATAATTGGGGAAAGGGGGTAGGATGTAGGGGATTGAACCCAATTTCTCACATAACACAAAAGTCTTGCCACTATGCTATTGTTAGCACTAGCATTTAATGTTGATTCTACGTCATATTTGGAATTTGAGAATGGGTTCAAATGTAGAATGCCATATATAATGCTGCAAGTTTGTTGCTTTTGTCTCCAAAAGTCTTTCTTTAGAGAAATTGTATTAATCTGAATGTCTGGTCAATCGGACAAAACGGTCAACTGCTACCTTATCTATATAGTTAGTCTCAGATTGGGGCTGTTTATCCTATGTATTAGATTTTTGGCTTTTAACTTGAAGAAAGTTGATACCTTGCTAAAAGAAATAATTCGCTTTCCTGTTTCACTTCAGCCTGAGTTTTCTTTGGTCTCGCAAGATTTTGAATTTGTATTTGTGAGTTATGGGCTTTTATTTATAACCATGTATTTTTTTTAGTAGGCTCTGGATGACTGTGTCCATGAGTTGCTTTTTAGTTAATGTTTTGAGTTAATGTTGTGTATAGCAGGCACAATTTTAGTGGTCCTTTTTGATAGATATTTGTTTATGGTGATTGTGATTACTAACTTGCAATATCTTTGAACAGCTTGGAGTTTTCTCATCTCAAGTGTTCCAAGATTCTCCACGTGAAAAAATTTGGAGAAGGAAAAATTGTAATTTATAACTATTTCGCTTGGCTTAATCTCAAGTTAAGTATGCAATATGGTGAATGTTGTTTTCTTTTATGCAGCACCGATTTATGAGATGGAGAAACATTGCAATATAGAAATTGCTGCCCAAATTTCGCGCATCTTATCCAGCCAAAATGGTACTTGAGTTATCTCAACTTCTTAGATCGTTCATCATGACTCATCTTCTTCTTGTACTATTATATTCTTCTGTGGTCTGTTTCTTGACCAGCGAATAGGAATTTTTTTTACCAAAATCTGTTAAATTAAGAAACTGAAGAAGAAATATTGAATTATTCTTCATAGACTTAATCAGTAAATTGCCATTGCAAACAATTGGATTCTCTTGCTATCTGGATTGAGTCTGGGTGTAAGGCTTATGATTTGAAATGGTCTTTTATTTATCTAGCTGCACCCGTTCATCTTCTTTTGGAACAAATCAAATCTCAAAATGTCATTGGAATGTGCATCAACTAGTTCTTGCAGGCAAAAGACCAAGTTAACTTGGCGAGTTATGCATGGGTCAATTTTAACAGCTACAATTTTTTAATGTTGACCAATTGGGAACATATAGTACTGACTATTATCTACTATGACATTATAAGTGCTCAAATTCAGTTTTTGGATCTTTTATAGATGGAGATCATGATCGTTATCACATCGAAGGATTGATGGAGAGTCCTACAGTGGATAATGATGGAGATTGTTTCTCACCTATACTATTAAATGCGACTTCTGTTAACATTGAAGTCTATTACAATAAAGCAGTTAACTACACCTTAATGGTCACTTTTGTATCCTTTATATGTCGTCCTCTATCATTTTCAATGCAATATCACCGGTCTGTTTTGCCTGTATTCCTTGATTGTTTATTATCAGGTCTCTTTCCTTCAAGTCCTTCTGTTAATCAGACAAATGGAACATAGCAACACACAATCGGTAAGAATTAAAGTATATATATCGTAAGGACAATGGAACAAGCTTATTTTGCATGGATGCTATATTTTGATATAGCATTAACCTTTAGCTTACTTCTTTGTGATTAATAAAAGATTTTTTTACTCTTGTTTATCAGGGAGCTGCGAAAGTTTCAATTTTAACGATTGGTCAACAAGCTATCATGGATGCTTATCTTTGCCTCTTACATCTCACTGCAGGAATACTGGTTGGTGAGTATTAACTAACTGTCCCAAAGAAATGCTAAAATTACTTCATTCATCTTACATATCTTTGCAATGATATAAATATATAAAGATCATAAGGTCTCTCTCACCTTTTCCTTTTCAATTATATCCACTCCCTCAAGTGGTCGTACTCTATTTGCAACCAGAATGGGGATCCAAGACTAGAACTTGATGAATTATCTTTGCATTGGTCTTGGTGGGGACTTTGGGCACTGTAGTTCTCAGATAAAAAATGATTGCAAGAAATTTCACGGATTATTCCTTTGTACTTGTGGGCAAGTCTTGTCCAGTATCAAATGTGAATGGTTTCATTTGAAAGTGCACATTGAATCTGCTCAGCACCTGATAGTAGGTTGATGGCTTAACAAGGAACGATATATCTCTTCTACTACCCTGTTCTTTTCAAAGGTCTATGTCTACTAAGTTCATGTTGCATTTCTTTATGCAGAATCCTTATTTAATGCTTTTGCAACGGCGGCATTCTTCAAGTTTGTAGTCTTCTCCATTTTTGAGATGAGGTACCTTCTCGCAATATGGAAGGCAAGTAGGCCTATGAATAATGGTGAAGGTTGGGAGACAATGAGGCGCGAGCTATCAGTTCTATATAGCCGTTTCTGTAAGTGCCAGAAAAGCTTTTGCATTTGTGGATTGAAATTCTTTGTACATATGATTTGCCAAAAGTGATGTATGGAGTATAGACAATTAATTCTTGTCTTTTTCTCTTGCATAAACTTACCTGGCCACCATTCGCAATCATTACTTTTGTTTCTATGGATTTTCACAAATCTTACTTCTTGAGTCTAAACCTGATGGTGTACCCAGTTATTTGATGCTCTTATAAATTCCACTATTCAGACACCATATTCTATCGATAGGATAGACCTGGGAAAATATTACATGTCCATCTTTCTCTCCCTTGCTTCTCTATTTAAAATAAGCAAATCTAATTGATCTCTTTAAATCAAGCATCTTTATATAAATCTTAGCATTTTCATCATAGACAGATAAGATAAGGTCACTTAATTTTTTTCTTTCCATAGGTAGAAGAGCTGAAAACCTAGAGGATAATACAGCCAAAAACCAGACGGTTTAAAATTGTAAATCAATAGGAAGCTTGGTGTTAGTAAAAGCCAAAAGATGGTTTCTTGAAAAAATAATTTGATCGTCTTTACTGTTATAGTAGCTAGAACATCATCCCAAATTCAAAACTGAAAGGTATATAGATAGGGAAAAGTGGGTTGTGAATGGCATAAGCACTGCTTTTCGAACATAGGTAATAATGATAGAAAGTCTAAAGTGGATTATGGGTCTCACATGCTAAAAGGAAATTATATCATTTACAAGTGATACTTGTAGAAATAGTTTTGAGAAATGATTGAGGGAGCTGGGAGTGTAATTGCGCCCTGTTTGTTCTCAACAGTCCTCAATGTTAGCTGCTCAATGTCCTTACTTTTTCAATGGTACTATATCGTATTAATTGCTCTTGGAATCAGTTAATTTATGAAATCTTTGTCTAGTTGATGGGTTACTCTGATCTAACTAGTACAAATATCTGCAGATGGGATCCTTTTAGGAGGCATTTTGATCATGTATGAGTTTCATAATTTTTTGCGGCCCATACTTCTCCTTCTCTACTCCTTTTGGATACCTCAAATAATCACCAATGTCATTCGTGATTCAAGAAAACCTTTGCATCCTAATTACATCTTAGGCATGACTGTTACCCGGCTAGCAATTCCATTATATATATTTGGATGTCCTCACAACTTCATGCGAATCGAGCCCGACAAGAGCTGGTGTATCTGTTTGGGTGTATTCATTGGACTTCAAGCATCCATTCTTCTTCTTCAGCACTATCTTGGATCTCGATGGTTTATTCCTCGACAGGTCAGATGCAGTTTTGTTACTCTTCATGTATAGCCTTTATATTTTCATTTCTTCCGCTCGTTTATGATAACTCATTATCCTGAGTAAGTGCATGTATGTTGCCTCTAATACTACTTAACTCGACTGAAAATACATTGCGGGATACGAAGCCAGGGTTTGTTGCAGTTAATTTAAGAATGTTATAATGGTCTTCTTGTGGTTAACGAAATCATTTTTCTTCTCAACCCTCCCTTGTCGTGACGCTGGAATCATTTTCTTAATTCTTTTCGGTGGAACTTGTTATCACTGTAGATTGTTCCTTTCTAGTTCCTAATTCAGTTAATCATGTTCCGTTTCTAATTCTTTGAACTTCTGGTTTGCAGATACTACCTGAGAAATATAGCTACTACAGAAGATTTGAGACAGAAACAAACCATACCACAGACTGTGTCATTTGTATGACCGCCATTGATCTTATGCAACGTTCAAGAGATTGCATGGTATGCTGTTATATATATAATTGCTGGGGATATTCAAGGTCACTTTGTTGAACCGTGGACCCGATTTAAACTGCGTTCTCTAACAGGTAACACCGTGCGATCATTTCTTTCATTCCGGTTGTTTGCAACGGTGGATGGACATAAAGATGGAATGCCCAACTTGCCGCCGTTCATTACCGACAGCTTAAAGAAAAAAAAATTCCACTCATCACTGAGGTAATGACTTGATGCCAGTCTTGACCTGTGAGATGGAGCGTGTTTGCTTCTACCTGATAGGATTAGTATTCTTTCATACCTACACAGAATCAACTTGTAAAGTTCGAACATCTAAACTTCCATTCATTTCCGAGATATCGTTTCATAAATTCTTCCGAGTTTGCAGTCTCGATTTTTTTATTTATCCCTTGATTATATCAACCCGAGTCACTTATATACATATATTATTTCAGGTCGAGAAGAGAGTCGAGTGCCCACATTTTGCCTGGTTCCATTTCCAGAAGATGACTGAGACACAACCTAAGCAAATTTAAAACCGTCACTACCGACACTGTAACACTCTAGTAGGCAACAACATTCTTGTGTAATCATTGTATAATTGTATAAATTTCAATACACTTGATATATTTCATGCCAGGTACTGATTGCCTTATCAAAAAGGGTAAAAAAGAAAGAGCAAATTGCTTTAGATTTACATCCATGACTTCAATTTTACCCCCTAACAGTTGTCATTTGACGGGTGAATATGAAACCCATTGCAACAATTATAGAGGCTTCTTGGTATGTGTTTTAGAGTATTTCTTCTGCTTGAATCAAAGACTTTGATTGTCCTCCCAGGCAGCAACAATTTATTGAGTCAAACCATGCTTACGGCTCCATTAAACCAAATGATGAATTGAGTGTATGTATGTAAAGGACCAATTGTATTTTTTTTTTAATAATTTATAATTAATAAGAAATTTGTACAAGGGACTTTTTATGTTTTTCTTCCTTTATATAAATCAAATACATAAAAATATAATAATATTGTATCCTAATGAATTACTTTCTAATAAATAATTTATTAAAATATTATCCGTTAACAAAAATTTATAAATTTATTTTCTTTCTTTTTTTTCTTTTTGAGAATAAAATAATTATACAAATAAAAAAATCTCGTTAAAAATTATGGTAACATTTGAAACTAATTAGTTTTAACTCGCACCCGTGTGTGTGTATATATTAAAGAATGCAAAATATTAGGTCAAAGTATAAATATAAGAAGATAAATAAAAAATAAGGTAAACAACATGTTTAGTATATGAGGAATTACTTTTATTCTGTTTTGTTACATGAACTTTATTTTTTTCAAAATCGTACCTTACATTTAGTTTAGGATACAATTTAATATCTAACCGTTAAAAAATTATCATAATTGATGACATAAGATTTTTTTTATTTTTTCAATGATGATGTGGCATTATCTTATGATAATACGTCAACATTATAATTAAGTTTTTAATGGTTGAATACTAAAATGAAATATAAACTAAACATTAAGTATAATTTTGAATAAAAACAACATTGGATAACGGAACAAAAGTAACAATTCGTGTATTAAATGTGTAGTTTATCCTATAAAATTTAAGTGTATAAAATTATAAAATTTTAAGAATGTAAGATTAGATTATAAATAGAAGATATCTAAACTACATGAAAATTTAAATTTTTTAAAGAAAATGGTTGCATCCCAACATCCCTCAATCCTTCGTGCATTCGTCGGAAATGTTGAGAGTAGGGATATTCTCTTTGGAACGATTGTTTGGAATCTGTGGATTCAACATAATGCACTGGTCTTTGACAACCCATTGGAGGATGAATAATTTGTTCTTGAGCGAAGTAAGCAGTGGATGGAGGTCATTGGTCGGGTGATGGATAGAGGGGCAACTCGCCCTATCTTCATGGGTCTAGGAAACTCTGAAGTTTTAAGTTGGCGACCACCTCCGACTGGTTGGCTTAAAGTGAACATTAATGAAGCTCGACAGAGGGAAACCGGGCTGGCAGCTTGTGGCGGAGTGGTTCGCGATAGTACGGGAGCTAGTTGTAAAAAAGGTTGTAGTCATTATATCACAAACGATTCATGTATTTTGTTCAAAAGAAAAAAACATGATTAGTGGCGTGAGCAAGTTGTGATCGGATGGTGAATTATATGGTAAAAGAAAAGTTGCAAGGAATAGCATACATCTACTGCCCTTCTTTCCTCTAGAAACACAACATGACTCGTGTCCAAAATCACAAAATAGAACAACGAAAATGACAATCCCTCAACCCTCCCACTTTCCATAATATAGCTCCCTTTTCATCTTTAACCCTTGCTTTCTCAAGGGTGGTCCTACCCGCCAGCTATCTTCTACCATGCGTTTTCATTTGGTGATTACATACAAGACATTGTTCACTCGATGATTTCCTTTACGGTAAATTACATCTTATGCTACTATTTTTCATAATTTTTTATTTTAATCATAAAAAATTACCAAACAATTTTTGACCATTTTTGTTGAAATACACCCAACAATTTTAGTCATTAAAAAAACTTTACACAAGGCTCCAGTTATACAGAATTTAAAATGGGTGGCTGAAATAATAATAAAGTTTAAGATGGATGGCGAATGAAAATAAAGTTTACAACATAGTTTAATTACCGAGTGAAGATTGATGTGATATAATGAAACTAGCTTTCCAAAATGAAGGATGATAGTGAAATAGGGGAAAAGGTCCGAAAGCCACAAAAGCCACCGCACCTCGCTGTCATAGTGCCACGAGTCCCCCAATCGAGGCGGTGTTGATTTTGACAGCATTTTAGCACTTGGTAAATAGTAGCCGCCCGCTCAACTTTTTTTTTTGTCTTCTTTTTATTGATGGTTGCATTAAACGTGCCCCATACACTTGGCTCGCAAACATGCAACACCAAAAATAAAGGGCAACCGACCCCACTAAACAACTACCCAGAACTTGATCCCCGATGAACAAACAAATGCACCCTACAGCGGCGGCCTGGCCTTTATCACTCTCTGTCTTTTCACACTCGGCCACATCACAGTATTTTTGGGTAAACTATCTACTCAGTCATTTAACTTTCGTTTTGATTATGTTTTTTTCATCATTTAATTATGTTCTTTCAAAATTCAATAAAACTATTGATATAGTATTATTTTATTTTTCTAACGACGATATGATATTATCTTATATTAATATTTTAACAAAAAGTGATAGAAAGAATTTTGGTCAAAATGAAATTGAAGTGATAGTGGGATTCTCTTTTATCTTTTTTTAACAATAATAATTTTATGTGTGTTGGACGTTTGGCGATTTTCCCGATATATCATCGGTGAACAGTATATTTTTTGATCTAACACCGATCAGATTATATTTTTCGATTTAACACCCTTAGCAGTAAAGCGCGCCCCCTGCACCGCGCTATACGATAATGTGGCGCCACGTGGGGTATAGCCCGCCCCCTGCACCGCGCTATACGGTGATCTGACATACACGTGGGTATAGCGCGGCCCCTGAAGCGCGTTATACCTAGACATCTGACACGTGGGTATTATTTATTATCTTTATTTTAATTTTTTTTTACCGTGGCTTGATTTTAGCAAATTTATTTTGTTTCCTTTTCCCATATTAATTCGATTTTTTTAAAGTGAACTTTAATTATTTTTCATATTTGATTTAATTTGCATGTTTGTCTCAATTTGACTTTAATGCTCTTAATTTAGTTTTTCCTTCCTTAGGATATACGTGATTCATGCCGTGATTCATCCTTTTATTAAAAATCGCCAAATTAATATAGATGCAAATATAAATAATTTTTAATAAAAGGAAATATAATTAAGAAATTAAAAGAATCAAAATAGGATGGAAACCATGGCATGAATCACGTATATCCTAAGGAATGAAAAACTAAATTAAGAGCATTAAAGTCAAATTGAGACAAACATGCAAATTAAATCAAATATGAAAAACAATTAAAGTTCACTTTAAAAAAATCGAACCAATATGGGAAAAGGAAACAAAATAAACTTGCTAAAATCAAGCCACGGTAAAAAAATTAAAATAAAGATAATAAATAAATGAAAAAAAATCATACATTTATTATAACATACATGAAAATAAACAAACAAAAGAATAACTAGAATAAAATATAAATTAAATTAAAAGAAAAAGTAGATCGGAAAATATACTATTCACTGGTGATATATCGAAAAAATCACCAAATTAATATAGATGCAAAGATAAATAATTTTTAATAAAAGAAAATATAATTAAGAAATTAAAAGAAGCAAAATAGGATGGAAACCATAGAATGAATCACGTATATCCTAAGGAAAGAAAAACTAAATTAAGAGCATTAAAGTCAAATTGAGACAAACATGCAAATTAAATCAAATATGAAAAATAATTAAAGTTCACTTTAAAAAAATCGAACCAATATGAGAAAAGGAAACAAAATAAATTTGCTAAAATCAAGCCACGGTAAAAAAAATTAAAATAAAGATAATAAATAAATGAAAAAAAAGCATACATTTATTATAACATACATGAAAATAAACAAACAAAAGAATAACTAGAATAAAATATAAATTAAATTAAAAGAAAAAGTAGATCGGAAAATATATTGTTCACCGGTGATATGTCAAGAAAATTGCCAAATTAATATAGATGCAAAGATAAATAATTTTTAATAAAAGGAAATATAATTAAGAAATTAAAAGAATCAAAATAGGATGGAAACCGTAGCATGAATCACGTATATCCTAAGGAAGGAAAAACTAAATTAAGAGCATTAAAGTCAAATTGAGACAAACATGCAAATTAAATCAAATATGGAAAATAATTAAAGTTCACTTTAAAAAATCGAACCAATATGGGAAAATGAAACAAAATAAATTTGCTAAAATCAAGCCACGGTAAAAAAATTAAAATAAAGATAATAAATAAATGAAAAAAAAGCATACCTTTATTATAACATACATGAAAATAAACAAACAAAAGAATAACTAGAATAAAATATAAATTAAATTAAAAGAAAAAATATAACGGGAAATATACTGTTCACCGGTAAATCAAGCCACGGTAAAAAAAATTAAAATAAAGATAATAAATAATACCTCACGTGTCAGATATCAAGGTATAGCGCGCTGCAGGGGCCGCGCTATACCCACGTGTATGCCAGATCACCGTATAGCGCGGTGCAGGGGGCGTGCTATACCCCACGTGTCGCCACATCATCGTATAGCGCGGTGCAGGGGGTGTGCTTTACTGCTAAGGGTGTTAGATCGAAAAATATAATCTGACCGGTGTTAAATCGGGAAATATACTGTTCACCGGTGATATCGGGAAAATCGCCTGGACGGTTATCTTTATCTTTGTGGTATGTTTTTAACTTTTTTTCTTGATCGCTTGTCCATTCTTCTATTTATATTTTCTTATAGTTGGATTTAACAATGTCACAACAAATCAAGACATTTATTTTAATTCTTGTTGATCTTCCTTATTATAGACATTTTGATTGAATTTGAATATGTGATTTTACGTTTGTAGATAGTTTATCACGGTGCTCGACTCTCTCGATGATCTTTCAATAACTTAATTCTCGTTTATGATTTGTTTGTCAATGCAATCAAATTTATTCATATATATTTTTGTTTAAGTTTCTTAATTAGATTTTTAACATTTTCCATGTACGGTCTTTTGATCTAAAAAGATTAGTTTTAATGTTATAAAAAATTTAAATATGTATTTAGTTTACAATTATAAAAAAATATTATAATTTTAAATAATTTTATTTTTCTAATAATACTATTGGCTTTTATAAAAAAATAAGTAGTTTCTCCTATTATTTTCTCTCTTTCCACGGCTTCTGTGTGCCGTACTCAACCGCTCCCCCTTCACGTGCCGTCTATCGTTCTTTCTCCCTCTTATGTTATTTTTGAATCTCCACGCGCCACAAGATGGAACCAAAGGTAACACTCCCACCAATAGATTATTTGAAAAACCAAAGAGAAACTACAGAATTCGACAAAAATGAAATGACACGTGTAGTTACGGTATCGTCATGGAACAAGCGGTGCGAAATCTACTCCACAGATTTCGCCGACGAACAGAGGGACCCTCCCCACCGAGTGACGTGCTGCTCTTTGGTTTCCGTGTGGGACCCACTTTATCCGCTACACGCTACTGCCGCCACTTCACTGTTTGTCCAACAGCTTCAGGACAGACGACCTTTTCTTACAGCTAATCCCCTGTTTTCAACACCAATTCCATTCATTTAAGAGTAAATTACACTTAACTCAATTAATTATATTTAATAATAAACACATAATTTGTCAAGTTACATTAAACACTTAAAATGATTTTTATAAGAATATTTTAATTACATAATTATAAAAAAAATATTTATTATTATTGGACATTAATCTACGTCGATTTAATTGGGTGACCAAAATCAAATTAAAGTACACGTGCCTACCGCTAGCCGGCTATTACCATAAACCAGCACCCATCTGTCAAGTGTCACCCGATACTTTCCCCTCCATTCCTGAATTTCTTTACTATTATTTTGCCGTCGGTGACGCGTAATACTCGCTGTGCTTATTTTATGTTAAACTTGAGCTTTCTTGTTTCCTTTTCTATACCGTCACTGTTGGCATGAATTGGTGGGGAAAGAGTCGTTCTATCTTTATTTTAGTCCTATTTTAAGTACAACAAAAGCGTAAATTTATTGGGTTACATCACAGCGTAAAGTACAACAAACTGAATAATAAAGATTTGATATTTAAATAATTTATCTCGGAAATAAAGAACTGGTTAATCTTGAATGAGAGAATACACCAAAAACATATAGGATAATGTATAATATTTTCCTCTCGGTTTCTAAAAACAAACACCGATTACTGTCGAAAATTATTTACATCAGAGTAAGGATTAAACCGTGGCTAAAAATATTAGAAAATACAGGGATTAATATCAGTTTTTCCCCCCTAACCTTCCCAACTCTTCAGATGCAGAGGATTAAGATGACGCCGTGAAAATTGAAAAAAGATACGAAATATCAAGCATCGACCGGAGGAGGAAGATTCAGGTCGAGGAGAGGGGCTGCTATCCTTGCCTTACAAGGACTGGCCGATGAGGAGTCCGGTTCACTCCGGGCAACGCCGGCGAAACCCAAACCCAGCTGAACTTCGACAGGCTCGAACCGAACGGGATAAACTCGAGCAACACCTTCAGCTCCTCCAGCCAAGGCTTCGAAAAAGAGAATCGGCCGCGACTGAACCATACCACCAATCCTACCATTGGGGAGTCGACCGGTCAGAGCCAGCTGCTGGTGGCACGCGAAAGGGTATCTGGCTACGGCCCCGTTCACACTGTTGACTCCACGCTCCACCGTTGGGCTGGACGATTCCTCGACCGTGCTGCTCTGGCTAGGGCTCTGCTGGTTCTGGTACCTGACCTTGTTGTCACTCACGTAGCCGACCATTTCATCCGGTAAAGGGAAGTTGGTCTTAGCCTTGGGCCCACGAAACTCACGCGCCGCAGCGTCGTAGGCTCTTGCAGCGTCCTCAGCCGTATCAAAAGTACCGAGCCAAACACGGCTCTTCTTGCCGGGATCTCTGATTTCGGCGGCGTATCTCCCCCATGGCCTCTTCCTTACGCCCCTATAATGCACATCTTTGTTGCCGACAACGTCTGCTTTCATCAAGATTTTGCTTCCATTTTTGCGTTTGGGAGCCATAACAACTTCCTCTCTTACCGTAGGTGTAACTTGTTTTGAGTCAAATACGTGTGGATCAGTCGTATTAAATAGGAGCAGGAGCGGATGACAGAAGCTACCATAGGGAATCGCAGTGGACACGCGTCGCTTCATCCGTGGCTCTGAATTTACTGTCTTCTCTCTCTTATCTGTCGGTATAGGAAAACAAATTCCAAATATTAGCTGATTCTGTCAGTCGTTTGAATTGGTCATCAGTCATCTCTTAAAAGCACCCGAGGGAGGTTGTCATTTTCCCCCACTTTTGCAAAACAACGCGCTCCCCCATAAATAGTAGTAGCAGATTTATTGAATTTTGAATTAGTTAACCTTGGAGAGAGGCATACGTGGGCTGTGTTGGGGGTTGAGACTGGAAATTGAGTGGAGAGTGGAATCCACTCAAAAAGGGAAAAGCGTGAAGGAAAAGTGCAAAGCGGTGAATGCAAAAGCCGGCACAACATCAACTACGTCGCCGCTTGTCTCGAAATTTCCGCGTGACACATAAACTCGTACAATGTATCGCATTGCCTCCTAACTTGGGCGGCGCCTCAGTCAAACACCTAATTAACTCATAGATGTATTCAAATCATCCGGTCATTAGTCATTAAATTGTGTTTTAAATTTTAAAATACTCTAATTAAAATCTTTAAAAGATAAAGCTAATTGTACTCAATCTACAAGTATCGTTTTATTTTATTCGACAACTCTCCTAGTTAAAAATTAATTTATTTTATCTTGTTTTATATTTATTTTTTTAAAAATAATATATTGATATTCAAAACCAATAAATAAAAAATAAATAAATATCTAACCAATTTCACCTCAGATTCAATATTCTTGGACAATATAGAATGGGTTCTGGTCCAGTAGCATGTGAACGTCATTAAATGATCGGTGTGTCCAAAAGTATTGAATCGAGTTTTGAAGTAATCATAGCAATAGCATAAGCCTCGGCCTAAACAAAAGCCTATAACATAATAGAGTTGGATTTTGTCGCAATTTAGGTGGAGTGGGTCAAGTAAAGTAAATTACACTGCCGCATCTTACGCTGCGTTTTGAAGAGTAATGCAAAGTAGAGTAGATGGGCGTAAAATTTAATATCGAATTATTAACAAAAATTAAGAACATAATTAAATTATATAAAATTCTAAAAAGCAATCTCCTTCGGTTCATCCATGTGGGTAATTGGGGCAATGGCGACTCAATTAGTTATTGGTTACAAAGAATTAGGCAGGGTATTTCAAGTTTTAGGTGTAATTAGAATATTTATTTGACTTAATTCTTCAATCATAATATCGTTGAGTTTGGTCAGCCAAATGAAGCTCTTAAATCAACTTTAACAACAACAACAAAAGAGCGTACGCTCTCGTCCTTATCTACGATTTGCCGCCTGAAAAATAGTAATAATTGCGTATATATTATTCATCTCAATTGATGGGTTAAGTGCTAGGTTTTGAATTTAACGTTGTTCCATTTTGCAATTAATGATATAATTTTCTATTTCATCTAGACTTAGACGAACAATAATATATATATGAGCTCATGATATGATAAATCCGAACAAATCGCGTTACACATCTAGTTTTGATATATGAGTCTTTTAGCGGATATTTTTTTACATACACAAATATTTAAACTTAATACTTTACTTGAGTGATATCAAAATGATTACCATTTGAATCCATCTCTGTTAATAATATGTACCTATCTTTTAACAATTGAGGTATATATTCCTCAGAAAATACCTTATAAACAATTGAGATGATTTATCTTAAAAAATAATTAAGAAATTTTAAATAATTAAGAAATTTTAAATAATTATACCATATAAATAATTATTTACTTTTATTGGACTTACTTATAAGCATAATAATATTTTTTTGTAACTCAAAAATATATAGTATCAATAACAATGGTTAGTTTTTTTTATCGTAGATGTTTGATTTTTAAAAATAAACAATTAATTAATTTATCATAGTTACGGAAAAAGTGACAAACCGCCATCGACACCTAATAATTTAAATTCTCAAAATAATTTAGTTTAAGTAGAGTTATAATAATAAATAATTATAGGTTAATTGTGGGACCACGCAACATCTATATCAGTTGGCCTAGTAAGCACCTAGTTTAACTGCATAACTTTACTAGAATATTAGCTATATTCTGTCGGTTAAATATTCAATTGATATCAATTTTGCTGGGTTTGTCATTTTTTAAAAATTGAAGAATATAAAAATTCTAATTTTCTCTTATTCGTTCATTTTTTTTATTGATTGACAATAACACTAATTTTAATATTAATTGTCGACCACCGATATTTTTTATTTTCTTTTTTTATATTATATTTTTATTTTATTATTTTCAATAAGTCTATATGTGTTACACGTTTTCATCTACATTTTTTCTTATGTTTTTTGTCATTTTTTCAACTCTTTGACCGTTTTTATTTATTTTTTCTAAGGATTGATTTGATATCACCACAACTGATCAATATGACATTTATCTAATATCTTGTGATTTCCCTGCTTTGGACTCCTGATTGGATTTGGATACTGAATTTGCGTTCGTGGATAGCTTTTTGTGTCTCTCGAGTATGATTTGCAGTTAGTCGGTGGTCTTTCAATAGCTTAATCTCCTTTTGTTGTTCATTTGTCGATGTGATCAGATATATTTGTATCTATTCTTGTTCGAGTTTCTTGGTTAGATTTAATCTTTCCTTGTATGGTATTTATATGATCTTAAGTTACTAGTTTTGTTTCAATGATTATAGGAAATTTCCCTAATTATGTGCTTAATTTACGATTATGATTGTAAATCTTTATTATAAAATTTTATTATTTTCAAAATAAAATTAAAAATAACTTTAAAAAACTTGTAAGCTTACTGTCATACGTATTTTGTATCAAGACCAAGTGTCAACTTTATATTTTGGATAAAGTGGCAGAATTGAAGGCTGAATGTGATTTCCAATTTATTTTAGGTAAATGATTGGTTAACGTAGGAATGAATAAATAAATAAAATAAAAATGATTGGACCTTGAGGAGTTGTTGAAGCAGCAGCACTCCTATATTAAAGCTCTTGAACTCCGGACACCATTGCAAGCAGAAGCAGATAGAAAACGGAGGTTGAAACAGAGAGCTGAAGTGCTGAAGGCGGCGTCAGCCACCACCGTGCCAGGATATCGCAACCTGTTAACGGACAACATCATTCCACTTGGTCATGGCCACCCCTCTCATTTTCCAAGCTTCAGGACCACCCTGGCAGCCGAAGAAGCCACCGTCGATGCCCTACCGTCGGCTAAACATAATTTTCATGCGTCCAGTGTCCGTGTTATTCTGGCAAGAAGGTTAGATTGAAATCATTAAACGGTACATTGAAAGGATAAAATACATTGCTTTACGATACAAGTAGTGGTGGTTAATCCAGAGATTACAAATTAATACTCCATCTATGGTATTGTCTTCTAGGGTTCTCTTTCTAGAGAGGAAGATTTTTCGGATGGTTGAAATTGAAAATATTATTCGAAAATGTAAATTTGCATGAAGCTAAAGAATTTGCGTGTAAAAAATTAAATACGTAATTTTCGACATATAAGAAGATAAATAAATAAGGTATCGTAAGATGTGATATATGAGGTCAAACCTTGTAAAATATTAGAGTTTTTGACATGTAGCCAATACATATTATATTCAGCGATATAGTACTCTACCCGCTACCTCCCTCCACTCTCCCCTTTACAATTTGTGTCATTTTTAGATCAAATCAATTTTTTTTAGTTTGATTTTGTTTAGCTGACAGATATACTGATTTTGATGTTGGTTACCGAATATATTTTTTCTTTGTCTCTATTATAGTTTTTTTTAATAAAAATAAGTATGTTTTTGTGACATATTTAACTCTACCTTTATGATATGTTTTTCTCTGTCTTTCGGTAGTTTTGGGTTGTTTGGCCGTTGTTTTTGTTTATATTTTATCTCAGGATTGGATTTGACATCGCCACGACTGATCAAAATGGCGTTTATTTGTTATCATGATGATTTTCCTTGCTTTGAACCATCAGATTGATTTGGATATGAATTTTGCGTTCTTGGATAGTTTTCTCACGTCGCTCGACTCTGATTGGCAATTTTTCTGTGATCTTTCAGTAGCTTCATCCCTTTTATGGTTCGTTTGCCAATACAATCAGATTTATTCGTATATTTATTTTGTTTGAGTTTTTTTTGTTAGGTTTTTTAACATTTTCTTTCTTTGCTCATTGTGTAATCTATGTGGCTAGTTTTTGTAAGGATGTAAAATCAGGTAATCGTTTAGGTTTCAACCGGATCCCGCCAAATCAGGTAAAATCGGAAACTGGTTATGTTAGGCCAATTTGATGGTTCGACTCAGATCAGGTCGGGTTCAGGTCATTTTCAGGTTGATTTGACACCAGATTTAGTTCGCGTTCAGGTCGGGTTCATTTCAGTTCGGATCGATGTCAGTTTAGGTCAAAATAGTTCAAGTCCGAAACACCAAGTTAATTCAGGTTCAGATGAACTTCATTCGGATCTCGTTCAGATCGGGTCACATTATTGACAGATAAAATTCAGGTCATATCTTGATTGGATACAGATTAATTTCAAGTCGGGTCATTTTTTATTTTTGGATTAATTATTTTTCATCTTTTTTGAACGTTGAATTGCAATTTATAATTGTATATGATTTAGAGTAAATTACAAAAAATATAAATAATCATGGATCAATTTTTATAAAAATATAAATTTAAGGACTAAATTAAACAAATATGAAATTACAAATAAAAATTTAAATAAATTAAACAACACGTATTTATGAGGGATCAAATCGAAATAATTTTAAAATGTGAGCTTGAAATTAATATAAAAAAATGACTAAAGTATACCCATTTAAAAAAATTTGGGCAAATTACAAAAATATAAATAATAAATAAGAATGGGCCAAATTCATATACAAATATAAATTTAAGGACTAAATTTAATAAATATGAAAGTGAACGAATTAAAATTTAAATAAATTAAAGAACACAAAAGGATGAAATCGAAATAATTGTCAAATGTGAAGAAAATATAGTAAATTGCATTCATTTCGTTGAGGAAAAAATTAAAACAATTATAATATATATATAGTATTTAATAATATATATATATATATAGTATATAATAATATAATATATATATATAAACTATATAGTTTATATGTATATACTATTTATAAACAATATATTGTATATATGAACTATATATAAATTATATAAAGTATATAGTTTATTAATGAACTATATGTAAACTATATAAAATGTATATGAACTATATAGTTTTTTAATATAAACTATTTATATATATATATATATATATATATATATATATATATATATATATATATATATATATATAGTTTATTACTATAAACTATATAGTTTATTAATATAAATTATATAATTTATTACTATAAACTATGTAAATTATTTATATAAACTATATAGATCATCTATATAGATAAACTATATAGGTATAAACTATATATAGTTTATATAGTTTATATATGAACCATATATAGACTATATAGTTTATTAATGAACTATAAACTATATGTATAAACTATATGTGTGTGTGTGTGTGTGTGTGTTAAACTATATGTATAAACTATATATATATATGTGTGTGTGTGTGTGTGTGTGTGTGTGTGTGTGTGTGTGAATATTATACTTTATTATTATATATGTATAAACTATATGAACAAATATATATGAACTATATAATATATATAGTTCATTAGTATAAACTCTATGAATTATATTATATATACTATGCATAAACTATATAGTTTATCAATATAAACTATATAGTTTATTAGTATAAAGTATATAGTTTATACATATAATATTAATTAAAAGAATTGAAAAATATATAGGGATCAAATTGAAAAAATTAAAAATATAAATATTAAAGTTCATCATCAAATTTGGACTAAATTGAATAAATTTAAAACATGGGGACGATGCTACAATGCCAATTGAACTTCACAAGCACGCGGGCCAAGAGGTTTGAATTTGGACTAATATATAAACCAAAATTTTTCTAATTTCAGTCATTTTTTTTCTCATTTTGTGATTATGCTCTCTCTCTCTCTAACACTCCAATTCTTTCGAAATTCTATGATTTATCTCTAGAAACTTATCGACAAACACCCTAAACCCAATTTTTTTTTTATTTTTTCAATCAAACACCCCAAATTCATCCCTTGTTCATCCGTGTTCATCCCAAAAACCATTTTTTGATCTTCACAAATACTAAAACACAAACCTTATCCTTTTTTTTTATCGAACACCCCAAATTTAACCATTGTTCATCCCCAAACCCTTATTTAATACTTACAAACACCCAAAACCAAAACCCAACCTATTTTTTGATCAAACCCTAAACCCTTAACACTTATTCATCTATATTCACCCCCAAACCCTTGTTTCATCCTTACAAACACCCAAAAACCAAAACCCAAACTATTTTTTAGATCAAACCCAATATTGTTCATCGTTCAACTTCTTATTATCTAACCTCAAACCCTAACTAAACATCTTCTTATTCTTTATATATTCATCTTTTCTAACCTTAAACCCTAATCGAGCCTCTTCATATTATGTCTCTGTTAATCTTTTCTAACCCTAAACCTTAATTGAACATATTCATCTTCTATCTATGTTCATTTTCTCTAACATTAAACCTTAATTGAGCCTCTTTTTCTTCTTCTTCTTTTGTTCATCTTCTATAACCCTAATCGATATTATTCATCATTTTCTTCTTCTGTCTCTGTTTATCTTCTGTAACCCTAGATCTAACTAAGACTGTTCATCTACTTCTGTCTCTGTTTATTTACTCTAACCGAGACTATTACTCATTTCCATTCGAAACCTTTATTTTTTGTATGGTTTCATGGATAGTTTGTCTTATGAGTTATAGTTTCCATGTATTTTTTTCATTCCTTTTTTATTTTTTTATTTTAAATTTTAATATTCGAATTAATAATTTCTTTTTTGTCTTGTAAGAGAAACCCCAACAAATCAGAATGAATATCATTCTGAAAGAGGTAAACTACACCATCACCTCTCTGTTCGATTCCTTAAATATATTTTTTTAAATTTTTATGTGACTGGTATACTAACCCTAAGTTTTTAAGGGGATGTAAACGATCAAATGTCCGAAGCAATTGGTGTTAATAAATCCTCTAAGAGGAAGACCACATATTCATCCGAGTTTGGAAGATGAACTTCTCCTGTTTGGGAGCACTACACCTTTATCAAATCTGTCGATGTTTCTGTTTATGCCGAGTGTAAGTATTGCAAAGTGAAAATGTATAAAGCTAATTCTTATATAGGTAGATCTAACCCTAGAAGGTATACTGAGAAATGCCAAGCTTATAAGAATTTTATTGCTGAAAATCCTAGTATGGTAAGTTATTTTGATCAAAACAAATAATGTGAATTGTTGAGCATGAAAAACTTAGGGATTTGCATCATTACCTTAATTCTTTTGTTAAGGATATATCTAGGTATATTGTTACGTATTGCATGTTAGAGCATGAAAAACATAAAAAAAAATGCTACTTGATTCAATGCATTCTGTTTCAAGTCGTATTTGTTTTACGTGTGATAGGTTGTTTGCTTGCACTTCACATTCTTATTTTGCTTTTACTGCTTATTATGTTGATAATAATTGGAAACTTCAGTCTAAAATACTAAATTTTCGCAGTTTTCCTTCTCTATATTATGGTGAGTTAATCTTTAAGTTTGAAGGTAATTGATAGGTGGTCTGCTTGCACTTCATATTCTTATTGTGACTTGTTTGTTAATAGGGAAAATGAGTTGGATATCATTATTGATAATGAGTGAGAAACTGTTCAAACAATCTATGATTTTCTTGAGCCTTTTTATGAAATGACTACTATGTTCTCTGGTTCTAAGTATCTCACTTCTAACTTGTATTTGGCTAACGTTGTTGCAATTGAAAAATTGTTGTATGATGCTCATAATGATCAATTCAGTTCAATGGTAATATATAAGTAAGATAAATATCATATCAATTCAATAATAAGTTAGATCATTTACATGTTAAGTCAATTATAGGTCAGATTCATAAGAGGTCGGGTAATACCAGTTATTTATCAGGTTAGTATTAGGTTCGAGTTCATATCAGTCGGATGCAGATCGGGTTTAGTTATCATATTTTTTGTTCAATTCAGGTTTAAGACGTTCTCAGATCAGGTACAGGTCGGGTTCAAATCCACAATTTCCATGTCCAACTCGGGTTCAGGTCAACACCAGTTTCGACTCGAGTTAGCCACAACTCAAGTCAAATTTGTTTTGACTCGATTCGGTTTCAGTCAGTTTTACAAGTCTGGTAAGCTTTTTACATCCCTAAGTTTTTATGTCAATGATTATAGGAAAATGTCCTAATTATATTTTAGTTTGCGGTTATGCTTATAAATCTTCATTGTAATCTTGAATATTTTCTATTTTTAATAAAACTATCGACTTTTCTATCAATGTTTTTTGAATTATTGAAAAAAATTATTTAAAAAAAAAACTCTGATTCTGAATATACGAAATATGAAGCGTCTAAGAGAAAGGCGTAGATCGTTGGAAAGGATTCCAAAAGCAGGCCCAACTAAGGATTTAAATGGTTGGACCCACGACAAAGGAAAACCAAGATGGGCCGTTCCATTTTCTTACCGTTGTGAGAAGAGGGACCCACATTCCCTTTGAAAAACTTCCTTAAAAATTCCAAAAGAGATCAAAATCAAATCCCTCCCCCATTGTCCTCCAACGGCTCTTTCCATTTCTTCAACGATCCCTCTATATTTCTTCAACACAACTCCCCAAGATTCCTCATCACATCTTTTAATTCCTCGACTTTTCTCTCACCGATTCCCGGAAATCTAGCTAGCTCGCAATAAATTCGAAGAAACACCAGCAATCTATTCGAATAATGGATCCCATTTCGACCCCACCTTCGAACGCTCAGTCCAAATCAGTTTCTCGTCTAGCAAGAATCGGCTACTCCTCCGTTGCTGGATCCGGAGAACGAGAAAGACCCAATCTCCCACTTCTCTCTTTGGACCACATTTCGCCTTCCCCCAAGAAAGTGACTACTCCAGCTTCACCGTCCCCCCTTTCTCTTAGATCGTCTACCAGCTCTTTGCCTCTCCACGAACTTCTGCTTCTCTCCCCTGGTTCTCCTCTGCGAAAATCAACAACCCGACTCACCGATAGGATCGAAATGGCGGAGGAAGTTTCCGCGGCCGAGCAAGGTGGTGGTTATCGTAGGAATCGCAAAACCAGGGCTGCTCAGACGGGTGTTTTGGGATGTGGGACCCCTAGGAATAGTAGAAGGTCGAGGAGGAGGATGGAGATGGAGTTGAGAGATGAGAGGGATTTGATTTTGGGGGAGGAGATGGTGAAACAAAGGAAAAGAAGGCATAGCGGGAAACCGAAGAAGGAGAAACCCAGTTTGGTCCCTTCTCTTCCTTCTTCCAGTTTGTCCCCTAGTACGCATTTTTCCCTTTGTTTTTTTTTTCTATGTATCTTGGTTTTTGGCTTCTTGTGCTTCTTTATTCTTGATATGTCGTTGGTTTTTAATGGTTTTAGAAGCTGATGATTGCGAAAAGAGTAATCTTGATCGGATCGGGGAGATGATTACTGATATGGTCATGTGGACGGATGTTGCAAAATCAAGCCTCTGGTTTGGATTCGGATGTCTTTGTTTCCTATCTTCTTTCTTTACCAAAGGTGTTACTTTTAGGTAATATGTATCCTGTTCTTTTCATCTTCCATTGATTTTCATTATGGAATTTTACACTAACCCTGAATCGTTCATCATGTCTGTAGCATTTTCTCTGTGCTATCGCACATTGGTCTTCTATTTTTAGGCGTTTCCTTCTTCTCCAACTCAGTGTGTCATAATGTTGAGAAGAAGAATGAATTCAATCTGAGGGAAGAAGATTTTCTGACACTAGCTAAACTGGTACTTCCAGCAACAAATCTTGCAATTTCAGTGATTAGAAAACTCTTCTCCGGGGAACCATCCATGACCCTCAAGGTGATTACCAAAATCAAAATTTCCCTTTTTGGTTGTTGATGATAACAAACTCGAAAACTATATATGAAGCAATCTTTTCTTCTGAATGCAGGTTGCTCCATTGCTGTTCCTCGGAGCCGAGTATGGCCACATTATAACCCTGTGGAGACTTTGTGCATTTGGTAAAGGATTTTACATTGAATCTCTGTTAATGAAGGTTATGTTTATCTAAAATTTTGATGTGGAATCATTGTTTGCATTGGAGCAGGATTTTTCATCAGCTTCACCATGCCAAAACTGTACTCTTGTTACTATAGTCTAATAAACCAGAAGGGTACGCAATTATAGCCACCCAATATTTGATGATTTGTTTCTGGTTTTTGCAATATAGTGATGGAAGTGAATTTGTTGGTATGCAGCTGAGTACATGAAACAATTAGCCATTGAAGCATGGGGAGCTTGCTCTCGTAAAAAGCTTGTGGCAGCTTCAGCGGCAACTGTCTTTTGGAATCTCTCTAGTGTAAAAACCCGTGTTTTCATCGGTAAGTTGAGTGTATCAACTAATGTGTGAGGTTGTTTTCATCCTCTATTTTGGCTAACTTTGATGATTCTTCACACAGCATTCATAGCACTGGCAATAATCCGGTATTGTCGGCAACATCTACGGCAGGACTCGGTTGAAGGGGAGACTGAAGAAGTGGAACGAGACCAGTCACAGAAGGCCTTGGTGGTTGCAGGAGAGTAATCAAAGAAAAACTAATTTGGTTCTCTAATCATTCCAACACAAATGAACTGCTGTAATGAAGCTGGATTTTTGCCAGTAGGCTGATCTGATTACTAGAAAACAGAACCACTAACATGATGCATTCTTGTTTTGACATGTGTAAGACATTTGTTTCTTTAGTTTTTTTTTCATTAAATCAAACTGAGCTGGAGAGTTATCTAGATGACACCAATCAGGGCACTGCAAGATATATTAAGAATCCAAAACTACGAAATTGTGCTTGTACTAAAGCTATAGAAAGAGTGAAGGAGAGAAACGAAAATCATCCAAGAAAACAAATAAAGTAGTAGAGGAAAGATCTTACATAAATTGTGTTTGCATGTGCCCAATTCTACTTCATCCTTGCTTACTCAAGTGTCTTACATGTGTGTTTATTCAGAACATGAAAGCTTATCAAGAATATGTAATAAGAAGTCGCAAGAAGGATTTCATGTTATATTATATGAATCTATTTATGATTAAAATTTACATTATTTATAATCTAAAGGATTATCGATCGATAAATTACATCAAGTGGCTCAAGTTACAATATATTTCATAAAATATAATCTACTTTACTTTTGGTAGTAGAATACTAGCATATACATAAAGTGTCTAATGTGAAGAAGTCACTATTTACATAGTTGGTTTATATATGTCTAATAACAAATATGGTGGTTGCTTGTCTAATTGATGAAAACGTGTAGGCTCAACTTCCATGTTATCACTAAGATCCTTACTGATTGTGTTGAATTTGTTCTTATATCAATTTCAATAAACTGAAATAATTACATGAAACAGTTACATTATAAGTGCATTGAGCATCTTGCAGCAACATATCTCAAACTTTACAATGAAAAGATGATATCTGGCTAATATTACATCGTTGATGGAATTATATGGAATAAAAACACAGTAGCCATTGCTTAGTATCTTAGAACCGAAGAGCTTCTTATAGAAACCAATAAAGCAGGTAGAGGAAAACAAAATGCATTCAACTTAAAGCCTTAAAAGACTGGAGAGAAACCACAAAATAAGCATTAATCCTCCATTTATGTTGTATTCAATCACTTCTTAGCAGTAAAAAGCATAACATGTCTAGTCTAAGAAGCTAGAAAACAAATAAATAAGTCCAGTGATTTCTTTGGCGCCAGCTAACCCTTGTTCTATTGGTTAGGTGTTTTCTACCAAGATGCTTTCTTTATCCCCATCAAAGAACCTTCATTAGCTAATCCACGAAACACAATACGAGACATTCGAAAGAACGAATAAACGGAACGAGGGCGACCCGTGAAAATACACCGGTTTCTTACTCGTGCAAAGGAACTATTTCTTGGCAACTTGGACAACTTATAACGATGTTTGTCCCGCATTTCACTAGGAAGATTGGGATCTTTACAAAGGGCTTTATAAAGCTTTCGTCTCAATTCATATTTAGCTGCGAGCAATCTACGCTTGTGATCTCGGAGATTCCGCTTGTCCGACATCTTGCCTACAACATGAAAAGGAGGGGCACAAACCCTTTTACTAAAGAGTGAGGAGAAGCTAATTGAATGTAGTCTCAATATTTATAAAATAAAATTCACGACTCAATACATGAAAACTAAACTGAATCTGAGCCTATTTCCTAGGACAGCAACTACAAACAAGTACCTTTACTTTTCCTAGGACTACAAACAACCGAACAAGTACATTGGAGATGCTAACTAACCAGAAATCGAACCGAGGAAAAGAAAGACAAGGTAACATGGTAACATCCTAGGTAGCCAAGCATGAGAAGTTTCTACCAGACAAATTAATAAAACCACTACTTATCTATTGAATGCAAGTACACTACAAAAGAGAAACAGATATATGCTTTTATACTTGGTTTTCAAATGGATCCCTCCTATTACTTCAAATTTCAATCCTCAAATGCCCCCAAAGTATACAAAATAGTCTCTTCAACTTGCAACAAGAGATCTAGTAGTCATTCAGAAATGAAACAAGACTAAGGAAGAGAGCTCAAAAGGTTGAGCAGAATCCAATTAGCCAAAACAAAAGGGAAAAGCACATGAGTTATAGCAAATCGAGTTCTCATCGAAGCTCAATTATAAACAGACCAGAAAGCAAATAATGTAAAAGACCAAAATCCAATACCTTCCGAGAGTGAAGCATAGCCGCGGCGAGAAACAGTGAGCATCGAACTCGTCAAACCCGAAGCAGTCGCAGAATGATTCGGCAGCACCGATTGCAAGCCGGTGCTTGGTTCAACCGGACACCTTCAACACCCAAAACCAAAAGAGGATCTCCTTTATATATAGTAAAAAGATTTGACTTTTTTTTTTTTGCTTTACTGAGTTGAAAGGCAGACCTGAAAATGCAGTTGGAGAGAGGAATCCTTGAGGAGACACGAAACGGCGATGGTGCAGCTCTGGATTTTGGGGCGAGCCCAGCTGCAGCGCAGCGATCAAAACTTGATTGGAGAGCTGATCTTGCGGCGGCCACAAACGATGTCATTGGCAACTTAGCGGGGTATTCTAGATATCAAAAGATTTACCCTTTTCTTCTTTCTACTGCTGCTGCAAGGATTAGGGTTTTGGAAGCCTCTCCGGTCAAGACGAAACGGGTAAATCGATAATGGGCCAAAGGCTAAAAAAAGAAAGAAACCTTTTTTATTCGTAAAAGTTTCGGCCCAATAATCTTTTATTAGCCTGCTGAACGTTACCTACTTTTCTGTAGTGTTCATCAAGGGCAAAGGCCTCGACCTTTATAATTCATTAGATGCAATCAACTCGATTTTTTGGGAGCTCTTGAAGGAAGATAATTTCTTCTCTGTTCAAGGTACGTTATTTGCTTCCTTGCTTTCAATGTAAATTATTTGACGAAAAATTTCCTCTAGTTTTTTGGGTGTCAAAATAATAGGACCCAGCTAAGCTTTCAGCGTACCGAGACAGAAGATTCAATGGCGCTTAAGAGGAATTCGAGCAAGCACTCCTCGATTCGACCACCGTCTATATCGGAAACATATCTTTTTACACTACTGAAGAACAAGTTTACGAGCTTTTCTCTAGAGCCGGTGAAATTAAGAAAATAATCATGGGCCTTGACAAGAACTCTAAAACACCTTGTGGATTTTGCTTCTTCTTGTAACTCTCTTTTTCCCGTAAATTTTGGTAATATTCGTTTTACAGCTCTTTAATTGGTTGCTGCGTTTTTGTTTTTGGTGTGTTTTTTTATCAGGTATTATTCTAGGGAAGATGCAGAGGATGCTGTTAATTACATTAGCGGAACTATTCTTGACGACCGTCCGATTCGTGTAGATTTTGATTGGGGATTCGTTGAAGGAAGGCAATGGGGCCGTGGTCGAAGTGGTGGCCAAGTAAGTTCTTTTTGTTTTGCCTGCAACTGTGCAAATGCTTGGTTCAATGCATATATATAATTGAAAATTTACATTGTTTTGGCTTGTGGAATTGGATGTATAGTTTTGGACTAGTATAGTATGGATCTATGATATGTAAACGGGATGGAGAGAGAATTGCCAAACTTCTTTTTCTCGTTTTATATTTATGCAGGTACGAGATGAATATCGAACTGATTATGATCCTGATATATCCTTTCAATTGTTTGTTTGAAATTTGATTCTAATGATTTCTTATCTTGTTCCGAAACTAACGAAACATGCATGGGAATATTAATACTGAAGTCTATTATCTGTTCAGAATTTTGGATAATCACTTGTTTCGGCTCTCATGAGATCTTATGCATTGAGAAATACTATCATTGATGCCTAATAAAGCATTTTGATGTCTTCGGAATGCCTTTTTGTCTATATATTGTCTCCCACCTTAACGTGCTATATGGAGAGGTGGCTATGGAAAGTTAGTTCAAAGAGAGTTGGAAGCACAAAGGCAGCTCGTAGATTATGGTGCTGGGTCCCTGGGCTCCTTCCCACCGGTTATGGCCCCTCAGTGTGAGTTCCTACATACTTCTGATTATAGATCTATATAGTTTGCATTGTTGGTTAGACTTATTCCATTTTTCGGGCTCATAAAACCATGAAGATGGCTATTTTTTTATGCTCCTTGTTTTAAAATATGGATCTATAGAATCTAGTCAGCATGCTATATGTTAAAGAACTAAGAAAATGATAAGCTAATGGCTTCAAATGAAAACTGGAAGATGATAACGAGTGGAAAGGGAAAATGTTTGGCTCTCTTAGAAATGATTAGCCTCTCCTATAGTAAATTAATTATGAACATATATGGAAAAATAGACTTAATTTTATATTCTTGATAGATAATTCGTTTGCTTTTGGCAGAGTGAGGTGTTATTTTTTTCTTTTGTTTCTCAGTTTATACAAATTTCATTACTACTTATCATTTGTTCCCTGCATGGTATATTCTTTTGTACTGAAGAAAAATCTCCTGGATGCCATTTAAATTTTGTGTTTATGGACTTTTCTGTCCATTAATGTGCATTTCTTGTTGTTTCGGGTGTTAATATGCTTGGAGGAAAGATAAAACATACTGACATGTTATATAATTACAGATGGTAGGCATGCTGGGGGACATGGTCTTGGTGGTTCTTATCGTCATGGTAGAGGTATTTATCTTTGAAGTGCATTTCTAATTATTCTTGTCATGTGAACACCTGCTTAAGCTATTCATGGACTTGATTGATTGTTGATAAAGCAGATTACCATCGGAAGCGACACCAAGAGGATGACCGCTATGGACGTGAGTCCTCAAAGAGATCCTTGGATCATGAATCCAGGAGAGCCTCTGACCATGACTCTATACCGGTAATGCTTCACCACATTCTCTGAGTTATTAGTGTACCCCTTACTTGCTTTTAATTATATATGAGCCGTCAGGAGACCCTTTCGGGTGGAGATGGATGCTTCAGATAAAATGCCTTTAGGAATGGAAGAAAATTTAAAAATTAACTACTAATAAAAGATTATAGGATGCTAATTGCATCTGTTCACACATTTTAAACCATAATTTTGATTCAACAGGAAAAGAATCCACGTTTCTGAGAGGGTGGTGATTCTGATGATGAAGAAGAAGATGATCGTAATCGACGGCCTTAATGGGTAGTTTATGTTTTACAAAGTGTAAGATCCGGGTGGGGAACTGTTGGTATTTTCATGCAGTTGTAAGAGGTGCCCCAGATGTATAACGTTGGGGGTTTTCATGCTACAATTGAAGGAATCCATTTTTCATTTAATAGAACCTTAGCAGTTTATGATAAACATTACAATTCTATACATAATATATCAATCATTGAATCTTTATATCAACAGGCTTGAAGGGACTTTACCGGAGAGCATAACTCGGTCTGAAAAGTTGCACGAGCTGAAATTGTTCAATAACAAACTCAGCGGGCCATTGCCAAGTCAATTTGGTGCAAACTCGCCATTACAAAGCTTGGATTTATCTTATAATCAGTTTTCTGGTGAAATTCCAGAGAATTTGTGCGCCAAAAGGCAGCTAGAGGATATTATTTTGATTTATAATTCATTTTCAGGCAAAATTCCAGAAAGTCTAGGCAGATGCACGAGTTTAGACCGAGTCCGGCTCAAGCACAATCGTTTCTCGGGTCTAATTCCTGACGACTTCTGGGGGCTACCCAAAGTATTTCTGCTCGAGCTTGCCGAAAATTCGTTTGGTGGAGAAATTTCGAGGACGATTTCAAATGCTCACAATCTCTCCATTCTGTCAATTTCCAGAAACCGCTTCTCCGGATCGTTACCGGATGAAATCGGCTCTTTGGAGACACTGGTAGAGATATCTGCTAGTGAAAATGAGTTCACGGGTCAGATTGCTAGATCTTTAGTGAAACTGAGCCAGTTGGTTAAGCTTGATCTTAGTGAAAATGAGATCAATTGAACGATCCCAGAAGAAGTTAAGGGATTGATGAACTTGAACGAGTTAAATTTGGCTAACAATAGGCTATCTGGGAGTATTCCTGGTGATATCGGTAGCTTGCCTGTGCTTAATTATCTTGACCTTTCAAGTAACTCATTTTCGGGAAAGTTCCAATGGAGTTGCAGAATTTAAAGCTGAATGTGCTTAATTTGTCGAATAACCAGCTTTCAGGGGAGCTCCCTCCTCTTTATGACAAGGAAACTTATAGGGGCAGCTTCATCGGGAATCGTGATCTTTGGCCGAAGATAAATCGATCTAAGAACGATAACTGTATGTGGATTCTTACCTCCATTTTTGTGTTTGCCGGCCTGATTTTTGTTTTAGGGATTGTTTGGTTCTACATGAAGTACCAGAGTTTCAAAAAGAACAAGAAAAGTGCTACTGTAATCAAGTGGATATCATTTCATAAGATCTGTTTTAATGAATACGATCACGGATTGCCTCAAGGAAGAGAATGTGATAGGAAGTGGAGCCTCCGGCAAAGTTTACAAAATTATGCTTAGTAATGATGATGCAGTGGCCGTAAAAAAAATCAGTGGAGGTGTCAAGAAAAGAGATTCTCCGAGTGCTACTGATACAGAGAGAGATGAGTTCAAAACCGAAGTCGAAACACTGGGAAAAATCCGACACAAGAATATCGTGAGACTGGTGTTGTTGCAATGCAGGAGATGGACAACTTCTAGTTTACGAGTACATGCCAAATGGGTGGGGGATTTGTTGCATAGCAGCAAGGGAGGCTTGTTAGATTGGCCTACTAGGTATAAGATTGCTTTGGATGCAGCCGAGGGATTATCCTATTTGCATCATGATTGTGTTCCTCCGATCATTTACCGGGACATGAAATCGAACAACATATTGTTAGATGCAGAATTCGGTGCCAGAGTTGCAGATTTTGGAGTTGCCAAGTTTGTTCAAGGAGTTGGAAAAGCTGTGGAATCCATGTCTGTGATTGCAGGCTCCTATGGTTACATTGCACCAGGTTTGTTCCTTCTTGAAGCTTTTTGTTGATTGGTTAATTGTACACTGGCATGATAATATAAACTTTGTTGATTCATTATGTCTTCATTTGTATACAGAATATGCATATACCCTAAGAGTGAACGAGAAGAGTGACATCTACAGCTTCGGGGTCATCCTCTTAGAGTTAGTTACCGGTAAACCCCTGACCGATCTCGAGTTCGGGGAGAAAGACATGGTAACATGGGTCTCCTCAAGCTACAACCAAAAGGGAGCTGAGCAAGTAATCGACCCCAGACTGGACTCTACCTACAAGGAACGAATTTGCAGGGTACTCGATATTGGTATCCTATGCACCAATGCTCTTCCCATTAACCGCCCTTCAATGCGAAAGGTGGTCAAATTGTTGCAAGAAGCCGGTGGGGAGAACAAGTTCAATGCCGGTAAGGACGGAAAGCTCTCCCCTTATTTCTGCCACGGCGATGAAGCCTCTGATCAAGCTAGTATAGTTTAATTAGTGGTTCAGACCCACCATAGAGAAAGACATCAGACAATTGTACAAATAGCTTGTGAATTTCTTGAAACAATTGTCATTAAAGATATCGGAAAAGAGTACAGCTCCACTGGTTGAGTGAAGATAGCTGTAAGCAGATAGCAGAGCGTCGGCCAACCGAAGTTGCCGCCTTTCATAAG